GCGACATCGGCCTGTGGTTTTGCAATGGTATCCTCTTCATGGTGTCTATCACCAGTGGCAACTTCTGTTTGTGTGGAAGGTAATTCAATCTTTTCAGTAGTGATGCTGGTACTTTCAACAGCTTTCGGTTCTGTCACATCTGGTGGACTTTTCTCAGATTCCGGCGGTTGTTCCACGATTTCCTGTGCCGAGTCGAGTGGTGTTTTACTGAGACTCAAATCCTGATTAGGTTCATTCGCAGTTGTAATTTCCGATTGTTGTTCAGTGGCATCTTTCTGTGATGCGAGGACTGTTTCAGTTGGTTTCGAATGTTGCACCTCGTCAATCGTAGAAGCAGGTTCCATCTGTTTTTCATTAAATACGTGAGTACTTTTATCTTGTATTTGCTCTTCTATGGATTTCCTGTGAGGTTGAATGGAATTGTCAACGTTTTCCTTATCAGGTTTGAAAACTGCAGCCGGTGGCATACTCTTAGGTAACGCTTGTACTAAAATGAAATTATTGTCTGATTTTAAATGCTTGCAAAGATTTTTGTTTGTAACTGGGTAGAGTTTACATTGGCAAAAGTATAACTAAAGCAGCGGTTTTAATCATTTTTGAATTCCAAGATTTGATTTATTAAAAAACTATTGTCAACGATATATACGGTAAACAAAAGCTTGTCATTTACAATGACCTATATAATCTCTATTGACATACTGTACGACTTTCTCATTTCAAGCGTTTTTGTCTTTACTATCTAACCTTTCTTTTCTAGAAAATAAAATAGAAAGATCAGAATTTAATACGCAATTGTGTTCATCTGTATGTATTTCGAGTCTTTAAATATACTATCTCCTTTCTTTTCTCTCTTTGCTTTCTTCGACGTATTCCATCTGGAAAATGGAAGATTGATCATCGGAACCGAGCGATTTATACAATTTAATTTTGGCGCTAACTTTTTGATCATCAAGCTTTCCTTTATCGGCAAGTAATATGAATTTTTTTCACTATCAATAACTTTAAAATTTTCCCGATCGATTTTATCTCCGGTCACTCATGCTTCGCTAAAGACCATTTTATCTTAACATCATCGTCATTCCCTATACTGTTTGCCTTGCTAATCAGTTGTTAAACCGAGGTTTAGAAATTAAAACAGATTAAAATCCCTGGTCTAGTTATACCTTTCTTAATGTCTTTCCAAATTTGCATTCTAGCTTTCGGCCCAGTTAGCATTTGAAAACGTTATCTCCTTAAGAAGGAAAGCGAATAGTTGGATATCCTTCCACAATTCTGTAAACAACGTACATCTTTCCAAAGATTCATGCCCGCTACTTGGATCGGCCGACCGCAAGCCGTTATGCGAAAAAGAAAAGCAAACCTCAACTCGTTTTCGCATCTTAATTCTCTCATAGTTTCTTTGCCAGTTTCCACTATTTCTGCGCACTTTTTCGATATTTAGCTTTAGCTTTAGAAATGTATACATACTTTCCAACTGGTTATTGTCGTTTACGA